AGAACTGCGCGCAAGATTCGCGCTTAGCGGGCAGGATCAACACCTCTCAGGCGACGCTTCTCTGGTATCCGGTCTCTCATCTGGATCCACTCACCCCTGTGGTTAGTACAATATCACGCGAAAAAGTCGTTCTACTACGTATACGAAGCATATAGGGCCTATAACAGGGCCTACACTAACTGAAGACCTAGCCAGAAATACACAGATCTGTGTTGTAATAAGATATATCTAAAATCAGACCACGCAGAGTACAATAATATATGTACATTCCTCGATAGTATAGTGGTTAGTATCCCCGCCTGTCACGCGGGAGACCGGGGTTCAATTCCCCGTCGGGGAGAACATGTTTTCCTTTTACGATCTTTAAGAAACATTAGTAGAAACTTAGAAACTAGTGTGAGCCCAGCAGCCCGCTGAATAGTAGGTCTCAATAGGCATACGTTACCCGTATTTTTTGTGCAGATTACCGGCAACATTCAGTAAGTGAACACACCTACAAAGCAAAACCTTTGGCTCCACAGATTGCGCAAATCATCCTAAAAAAAGTGCAATTTTCTAGTTCACACTGCAATAAAATCTTAATTCACAGCTAGTCCTTTGAAATCTTACAAATTTTATTTTTTAAATTAATATGGTATTATTCGGTTTCCAGATAATTAAAATGGACCAATCCTGCGTTATTGCCCCCTCCATCAGCATTCAGAGTGCACGCTATAGATATCCTATGGTGCAAACACCAATAGCTCTCTACTATAAGCATACATCATAGTATATAATAGTGCATATAATAAAAAGCTATGCGCGCGCACGCACGCACGCACACGCACGCACGCACGCACGCACACACACACACCCGAATGGCAAATTCCTCGCGGTCGCAAAAGTTCTCCGTGACACAGCTAGCTCGAAATTTACTCACATGAGTTTATGCGATCATATAATTATACCTTATTGTATCTCGTATGTCTGTTTCCATGAATGTGTTGTGTTCCTTATATAGCGCAAAATGCACTATGAAATCTTCACGGTAGATATTTAATATACGGAATGGAGGTATTTAATTATCAGCGTCCCTAGTAATGGCAGCTGCACCACGGTATAGTTAGCTAGCGCATGTAGTTCACAATAAATATGCCTCCTAGTGGTGTAGAGTAGCTACATCTTTACTGAAACCCGTTCGTGATGAATACGTGTCTAAAAATGAAATACCCACAAATGGCCAAATTCTCGAATATCATTCACTGTTTATTACATGTCTCTATACACACACGCACGTAGCCACATGTATTATAGGATGTCTATGGTGCAGTCTGTGTGACAAAAGTTCAGTGGTTCACTGATAGTGATGACATTATTGACAGGTTACAGTTGAAATTAAAGGTTAAACTCGGAAGAAAACAGTAATACCCCGTGTTACGGATGTGATAATCATTGATTGTCATCGGTGTGACTTTCATGGTGTGACTTTCATTGTTGATAATATCAGATTCGTTATCGTAATTTCGTGTTTATTCACTCCTGATAATATTTTATTATGATTTTGCGACAATGGCCAAATCTCTTTTATAATTTCTTCGATTTTTTCTTATAAGAATTACATAGTTTTGCTTTTATTGTGGCATACATCGACCGTGTGTGTTGGTGGGTGTTTCCTCCGTTACGCATTTCTGGATCCACTCACCCCTGTGGCCTACAATATCACGCGAAAAACTCGTTCCACTACGTATACGAAGCATGGGGAAGACCTCGCCAGAACTACACAGATCTGTGTGGTAATAAGATATCTAAAATCAGACCACGCAGAGTACATTAATATGTGTACATTCCTCGATAGTATAGTGGTTAGTATCCCCGCCTGTCACGCGGGAGACCGGGGTTCAATTCCCCGTCGGGGAGAACATGTTTTCCTTTTACGATCTTTAAGAAGCATTAGTAGAAACTTAGAACCTAGTGTGAGCCCAACAGTTCGCTGCATGAGTATTCTGTAACGAGAATCACTTTGTCCCATTGATTTCCTCTATATAATTGGCGATGCAAGTCCAATGTTGTAGAGAACCCTCCCCTTCACTTCTCTACCGTCTCTCTAATTCTGCTCAACCGCGTCCGCTCTTCCCCACATTCACCCCTCCTCATACTCTTCATCTCCCCCACCTCACCTATCACGTCTCTCCTCATACACATCTGCACCCCGTCGGCCCCGTACTCTTCCTCTCATTCTTCCACCTCAACAAACCCCCCCGGCCTCCCATATATATTTCTTACCTACTTCCTCTTCACATTCGTGTCTTCTCTCCCCTAATCTACATTCTCCGCCCCATCCTCCTCCGTCTTCCTCCCCTATCGCCCCTCCACCATTTCCACACTATCTCTCTTGCCGCCTCTACCCATCTCTCTCCTCTCTATCCTTTCACAAACTCCTCGCCCTTTTTTTTACCTTATCCCTACCGTCTTCCCCCTTCTCCACCCTCTCCGATTCCTATTCTCTGCCTCAACACTTTCACTGTTGATAAAATCAGATTCGTAAAAGCAATTCCGTTTTCATTCAGGTAACATTTTTATGAGTTTGCGATAATTGCCGAAACATTTTTTTTTCCATTGTTTATATGAATAACTTGGTTTTGCCTTTAGTTAGTGAGTAATCTCCTCCTTTCATATTTCTCGATCCGCACACCCATGGTTAGTACAATACCACGCGAAAAACCCCGCTCCACTACGAAACATACACCTACTAAAGCTGAGAGGGTCTATGTCCCCCAGGGTAGTGCCGGAACGTACCCTGGGTAGTGGGTACGGTCCGGTATAGCGGAACGTACCCTGGTACTATCTAACATGCCAGACCGTACCACGCCTACTCCACTAACGAGTCTAGGGAGTCGCCTACGCCTACTCCCTAACCATATATCAAATAGTTACCAGGGTACGTTCCGGCAGTGCCCTGGGGGACATAGACCCTATGAGCCCTACTAAAGACCTCGCCAGAACCACAAAGATCTGTCTGTAAATAGCATATCTAAATTCAGACCACGCAGAGTAGCACATGTACATTCCTCGATAGTATAGTGGTTAGTATCCCCGCCTGTCACGCGGGAGACCGGGGTTCAATTCCCCGTCGGGGAGAAAAAACTTATGTTTTATGTTGAATCTCATAAAAAAAAGAAGAAGTCGATATCAGGGCGAGCCTATCAGCCCGCTGCTAGGTAGGTTTCAGTAGGCCAGAGCTACCGGCCTTCTCAGTACCGGAGTACAAGCAACGTTCAGTGTAGTGAATGAACACACCCACATAAGCAAACTCGTTAGCTTTTCTTTCATGATCTTTAAAAAGCATTAGTGGAAATCAGTGTATATGTACATATATATGTAGTGGCGCCACTATCCTTTTAAGCGATAGCATAGCCGTTAGTTTTAAAACAATTAAAAAAAAATTGAAAATGAATATTGAAAATGAAATTTTTCGAGTAGCATAATTTACACCAATTTTAATTGAAAATGTGTAAGGAACCTAAAGGGCCGGACACACTAGGCGATTAAATCGGGCGACTAAATTGGGGCGACTAAATCGCCCGATTCTATCACGCGAGTCGAGTGGACACACTAGGCGATTAAATCAGGCGACTAAATCGGGCGACTAAATCGGGCGACTAAATCGCCTGTGAAATCGCCTAGTCGTGCATGCATGTGCACGTAGACGTGCGTGCGTGC